ACGCCCCCCCCCCAAAAAAAAAAACACATAAGAACAACAAAATCAAAGCAATCTTTTTTCCGACTGATGTTGTTTCTTCGTCATAAAATGGCAACCAAATTGGCCTACGCCATTTCGTGGAGTGCTGCTTTTGCTTTCCGCCCCTCACCGCACAGGCAGGCCAGGATAGGCCCCTCATGCAGACGTAGGCGGGCCGCCGGTCGGGGCCGATGCGCCGATGTGCCGGAGCAGACGCCGCGCCCCGCCGCGCCACGCCGCGGCCAGGCGGCCACTAATCCTCGCGTGCGGGGGCAATGCCTCCGCAAACACATCGGTACGTCGCGGGTACCTCGCGGGTACCTCGCGGGCACCTCGCGGGCACCTCGCGGGTACAAAGCAAACAAAACATGCACTCGTCCTAGCCGCTCAAACACGAGGGGCAAACAGATCCGCGTGGCAGCGGGCCCAGCGGCCGGCCGGCCCGGGCCCGGGCCACATAGAGGGCCCCACACACCTCTCGCGACCAACGGGGCCTCTCTGTTTTGTTTTCAGATCTCATAATATCAAAAGTGTTGGTGTGCTGTTTGTTCCTCCTTGCTCTTCCATCCTACACACCTCCACACAAACTGCCGGCGCCGCTTGATCCTCCAATCTCTTTTCTCTTCCGTTACAAAAAACCAAAACAAAAGCAAACAAATGGAAAGCGTACAAAAAAGTGAGAGAAGTTAACTCCCACTTTAACGAGCCATCGCGCTCACGCGCCCCGCACAGTCTGGGGGGCGCCAACCACTGCATCGGAACTAATCCTAATCCCTGGGCGCTTTACAGCGGCCACTTACTGCGGCCGATAGCGCCTAGCGCCGCGCCGCGCTCCCCCACGTGGGCAAGAGCCTCGGCAAGAGCCTCGCGCTGCCAGAGCGAAAGGGTCCTGGCGCTGGGCCCCGGCGCCACTGCCAGCCGGCCAGCGCTAGCGCCAGCGCCGCTGCTGGCACGGGATCACCTGCTCCTTTAATCCCGCTTCTGGGGCGCGCGCACACACACAAACACAAACACAGGCTTGCGCTTGCTGCTGTTGTTATTTGCTGCTGATATTTCCCATTGTCGCCGGCCGCCGCTCGCGGTCGATACGAAAATGACAAAAAATAAAATAAAAGAAAGCATCCTCTTGCGCCTTTCTTTCATTCTTCTTAAAAGGGTCCCCCAGCACACATATGGGGGGCCCGGCCCGTGCTGACAGCGAGCGCAAACAATCAGCGACGGGACGTACGGGCCGAGGAGGCGGGCGAGCGGCCACCGGCCCAGCCAGCAGCAGCGCCAGCAGCAGCGCCAGCAACAGCGCCAGCACCAGCGCCAGCGCCCTCCAATGAGTAGGCGAAACTGCCTGCTGCTGCTGCTGCCAGTTGCTGGCAGCCAGATCCGCACTACGCCCTTGCTGCTGGTCTTGGCGGCGCGCAGGGGCGGAGGGCCCGACTGGCCCATAGCGCGGCGCCGAAGCTCGCGGCCGCCAGCACCATTCAAGTCTCCGGCGCGCAGGGCGGGGCGCGCGGGGCGGCGCGGCCCGCATGCCTGGAGCCGGCCCAGCGCAGCCCAGCGCGGCCCAGCCCCTTCACCGGCACCATTATTGCACTTAGCGCCATTGCACTTTGTCAGCGGCGGCGGCGGCAGTGACGGTGCGCGCATGCACAGCCGCGGCAGCGGCAAGCACATGAAGGGGGAGTTTCCGAGAGAGGCACTCGGCGCGTCGTCCAAATGCACAGCCAAAAATTTCTCTCTCTCTCTCGCTCTCTTGGCCAGAAGAGTCGTCCCGTTTCTCCATCACGCATTGCTTCAGCTGCGCGCGGCGCCGGGGCCGGTGAGGCGTCGCGGCCGCCGCGGCCCGCAGGCGCAGCAGGCGCCGCTGGTGGTATCTTCGCACCATCGCAGAGGTTGCCGAAAAACGGCGGCGGCTCTAGCGGAGGCGAGGCGCCGCTAGAGCACGGCGTGTAGTAGTAGAGGTGGTCGTAGTGCCCGGTTAATTAGCCTCCGGGAGGGGTGGGGGGAGGGGGAGCAGAGGGGTGGGGGGAGGGGCGGCAGGCAAACTGGACTAACCTGCGCGTTCTGCTCCGGCGGAGTAGAGCGACGGTGATGCAGATGAGGAGGATGATGAGATGGGTTCACACGATAGCACTGTATACAACACAAACACTGTACGGCACACTGTCACGGACGCGTCGCGGACACGTCACGGACACGTCAGGGACACACAACACACGACACTGCACAGACACAGACACACACACCGCACACCGCGCACGCCTCCCGGACACACACGGGCTCCTCTCTCTCTCTCACAGCAGCTCGCACTGAAGGTACCTGCCGCCAGCCGGCTCCGTCCGGGGCCCCCCACTCTCCCCTCTCGCTGTCTCTCTCCCCGCGCCGTGCCCCTGCGCCCCGCGCTACGCCCCTCGCCCCCGCTGCCCTCGGCCGCCGCCGCTCGCCGCCGCAGCCACCGCCGCCGCAGCCGTGCCGCTCCTTCGACGGGCCGCCGCGCCCCGCCGCGCCCCGCCGCTCCCCGCCGATGAGCTCCGAGGTGAGGCTGGCTCGCCGGGGCATGGTCCATCGACACAGGTGCGCCAGTGCGCTCGGTACCGGGCCGCGCCGGCCCGCCCGGCCCAGGACCAGGCTCTAGTAATTGTGTTTACTAACAAGCGCGGCCATAGAGCTCAATGAGCACCGCGAGCCCGCTGCTCCATTGCCGCGCTCGCGACGCGCGCCGAACAGGCTCCCGCCAAAAGCCCAAGCGGAGCGGGCGAGATCCGCGCCCAGCCGGCCGGCGGCGGCCAGCAGGCACCTCCCACTCCCTCCACGAGCCCTGGCTAGCCAGAGCTCACGACCTGAACATTTTGGAGCTTTAGCTTACAATACGCACTGAACGCTAGCGAAATCACACACACGTTCGCGGGCGCAACTCATGCCGCCGTGTATCCTATGACGATCACATTATTGCGAGTGAGCCGATCAGCACCCCGGCCTGCCGCTGCCGGCACTTCGGCCGGGGGACGCCGCCAACATGTAACAGGGCCTCTGGTCAATATTCCCCCCCGTATCACACACACTCCCACTCCCCTCGGATCGGGCCGGGCCAGCTGAATGGTCGCCGGACCGGCCCGCCACGCCACGCCGCGCCACGCACCGCCCGAGCACGGACTACACCACCTTCAATAGAAGACACAAAGCGGACTGACGGGCCGGCGGCCCGGGCGGGTGCCCCATTGAGCGCCCCGGCGCCCCAGCCACCCGACAGGCGCCACCGGCCGCCAGACCCGCTGCCCAGGCTATCGATACCTCAGTATATTCATTCAATGACTCCCATACTCCCATGAAGGTTCGAAACCATATACATATTTCGGTTAAGGGTTTTGTCACATTGTTTTGCTTGGCACCTTCCTATTTGTACGCACACATCTGTACAGAAAACACATACAGTCTCTCTCTCTCTCTCTCTCTCTCTCTCTCTCTCTCTCTCTCTCTCTCTCTCTC